AGAGAGAGAGAGAGAGAGAGAGAGAGAGAGAGAGAGAGAGAGAGAGAGAGAGAGAGAGAGAGAGAGAGAAACTTAAATAATCCCTATGACTGTTTGCAGCAGTGAAAAATGCTTCAAATGAAATGTAGGATATTTGAAACGTGACGTTCTGGTTTATGAGGATGTGCAAAACAATAGCGGTGGAATCATCACCCATCACATCTCTTATTTTCTTCCACTGCAGCCCATTTCCTCAAGTGGTGGTGATGATGATGATGATGGTAATAACAATGAAGTGCAGGACGAATCTGGAGAGGATACCGGGAGTCTAGGGATGACATCAACACAATTTTGTTGAACGTGGATATCGATGTCGCGGCGAAGGATGGGCCCTCTCCTCTCGGCCGCCTTCGTCCTCCTGCTGGCCCTGAACGCCGTGTCTCCGGCCTCGGTTGGTAACCCCGCGGATTACACCACGGACGAGGCGGAGCAGACCGCCAGTGACAACATCGGCTTCGATGACTACCGGGGGAAAGGGTGCGTGGATGACAGTGGCTTCGTCTACAAACTCGGGGAACGCTTCTACCCGGGACACTCGAACTGTCCGTGCGTGTGCGCGGAGGACGGGCCTGTGTGCGACCAGCCCGAGTGCCCTAAACTGCACCCCAAGTGCACCAAAGTGGAGCACAATGGATGCTGCCCCGAGTGCAAGGAGGTGAAAAACTTTTGCGAGTACCGGGGGAAAACTTACAAAATACTGCAAGAATTCAAGGTAAGATCTGAGTTCTCCAACCTCGATCGTTTGAAACACTGAGTCACCAACTTACAAAAAACATGGCAAATCCTCCTACTTAACAAAAGTTGCCATCAACATTTCCAATAGGCTTCTTTCTCAGATTGGCTAAAGTAGAAGGAGCATGATTTTTAACCTATACTGTTCATATTTAATGTCTTCACAGTATGGTCCGGGTCAATTTTGACCCAGACCAAGAATTCCCTCATAGTAAGTGTCTATACCAAATTTTTAACTACAGATCTATTTAAAATGTCTAAATAGCCCATGTCTCATTAATAAATGTATGACGAATCCTTAATAAATGTTTCAGAGAGTAGGGAGAGTGTATTTTTTAAGATTTATAACATTCGTTTTTGGAGAAAAACAACTACTATTACACATTAGCATGTCCTGTTTTACATATGACATAAAAACATAAAAGTCATAATGATTTAAATATATTTTATTGAATTTGAAAATAGCATGAACATTCTGGAACTGTTGGAATTCATAATAAAACCATGTTTAAAGCTACTGTTTCCAAACTAATTAACAGCATTGTATTTCATCTTTGTTTTTTAGTACAATGATAAAATAGTTAGTAAGATAACATTTAAACTTATTTGAGGGCTATAGCGACCCAACTGATGCTCATGAGTTGGTTCCATCTTGCCAGGTTGATTCAGTCAGTCACCGCCAAAGTCTGGATGCCACGGAAGCAACCATCTTACTTATGGCTGTTTGTCTGGGTTGATATATGTCATAGACAATTACATGAACACCCCTAACTAGACTCACATGCTCATGTCAAATGATATACATCGATTAATTCAAACACGAAACAAAACCTAATGTCTATAGGTCTCATGGAAAGGAGGAATTTTAAGTGCAGTTGACCAAACACCCACACACTGCCTTTGGTCTTGCAAACTGTTGACAGCAATAGACTTCAATGCTATTTAGTGTTGAAACATGGCAAAATACAGCACAACGGCAGCATTGACCTGTGGTGTCGGGTTGTTAGGTTTGGGTTAGAGATGCTAAAGATGCAGATGCTATAAGAGTATGTAATGCTTTAAGTTTTGGACACTGGGTCATTGCTGGCAGATTCAGTTTCCCCGTGTCTCCTGCGAAGGGATCAAAGTTTCTAGACCATGTGTCTCATCGGTTGTTATCGAGCATGACAGTTCTGCCTGATTATAAATAACATTATTAGCATGACAACTAAGTTCTGTGTTTGAATTGTTTCTGCCCCTGCTGAAACATCCTCATTCATATTCCTGAACAATTGATTGAAATATGATATGACTGCTCAATGCTGCCCAAACAACAGTTTAGCTCTATTGTTAAACAAGGCATTTGGTCATGTCTGCGCAAATATATCAGTAACCGGTTAAGATTAGTAAGTCCACTGTAGTTGCGGGGGTATTCAGGACTGAATTTACATTGGAGGGTGTTTTTCCCATCTAACTTATTTAAATATTTTTCTGGATCTACATTTCATGACATAACATTAGAGGCAGAACACCTAAATCTAGTGATCCCAACATTTGAGACAAGTAAGCAAACTGGAAGAATGATGGCATGGCCAATATCCTGTTCATTTTTAAAAACAAAACTATTTCTTACATCAGTTTTATCCAGAAACTGATCTCTGTGGACACAGTGTTTTTCACAAACATCCACCAAGTTTTACTAGTTTTTAAAATTGGATGCACAAACCAACAACAGCTCTGGGACAAATGGGTTCTCCCATTCGGGTGTAGAGAGGATGTATGTTCATAAGACACTTTCCAATCATCTATTTCGTCAGCCAGCTCGAAATGATAGGCACTCCAGAACTAAATTAACACTTGAAAATAAGCTTTTGAAATCATTTTCAACATTAACTAAGCATTGTCTGTGGAACATTATGTTCAACAGTGTTGCTAACCACATACCAGAGACCAAACAATGTGCAAATCCAAATAAATTAATGAAACAAATCAACATATACAATCATCCAAAGAGGAAACCTCTCATACATGTCTACAAATGTATCAGCAATTATAGGGAACTTAATGCAAGTTGCATTTATTAAAATATGTACCAAACCCGCACAACAAGTCTGACCTTGTTACCTCATCTAAGCGTTCTTCTGAGATGTGAGAGCATAAATATTTTATGCTTTCAGCCTCATAAAGATATATAAGACTGATAGCATTTCAGCTATTTAGCACTAACATGCCTCTTATCAGACATAACAATCAATGTTTTATATATATATATATATCAACTCATTGTGCTATGGTTGAGGTCTTCTAACTAAAACATAAGCAGTATTAGTTGCTTCTTATTTATTAGCCACTTTAAGTAAGCAGAGCAAGATGTAAACTCAGCGTATTATCTCCTTGTGAAGTCGTTATGGTGAATGTATTAGCAAACAGAGCAACATTAGCATTCATATATCTACCCACCTGATGCATATGTCTCTTTTTGCTCTGTTTTCGGTCTCTACCAACCCCTGGGGCTCTTTAGCTGCAAAATACTCCACTGAGAAGAGATGAGCATTGTCAGTGAACCAAAACGTTAAAGCATGCGGCCCTTAAAGCCAAGCTGAAGATACATATTCCTAAGATATCCCATAGAGCTGAAGGGACCAGCAGAGTCTGTGATCATTGTGTCACCTCAAGCAAACTCTGTCACAGTACACATAAGCCATTATTATAAAACTATTGTTTAGCTTTAAAGTTAGGGAAAGATAATAATTATGGTTGAATAATAAAATACAAAGGCTGACTACTACTATATCAGAGGAACATGAACCTGTGCTGCCTGTGTTGAAGGCAAACGCCTGATAACAGACTTATATCACTTGTGCAGAAGAGTTGCATATGAATATCATTCGCAGCAAGTGGACAATTACACCAACAGCTTTTATTGAAAACCTCAATGCTGTTTACCTGTCATGCAAGGCTTCAGCACAATATATTGTCATGTTTATTTCAGTTTACATAATAACTTCAAGGTAAAGCGATCCAACCTCTGCTGTAAGATGTCGGTACATGTCACACCTGTGAATATTAGCCGTCTTGTCACTGAGACAAGGCGGGCCAGGGGGGGACACAGTGAGTTAAGCCAGATAAAATGTAGACAAGCATCATTATTAATCATTCTGCTACAGTTTATCCGTATTAATTTAAAATCGTTATCGTTGCTTTTCCTGTGTCTGTCTCTAGTACATTCAGCTGAATGAATTAACCATGATTTGTTTGCCTCAGGGGCCAATATGCTCGTGCTGGATCAATTTGTTGAATAAATAATTAGTCAATCATAATAAAAATGGATTAGCAACAATTAAAATATGCTATTGCAATTTCTGCTTTCCTGTGTTTTACATTTTTGTTATTATCATTATAGTCGTAGTAGTAGTTCTAGTAGTAGTAGTAGTAGTAGTAGTAGTAGTTTAAAGTCATTTGTTTATTAATCAAAATCAATAATCAATTATTTGATAGTGAAAATAATTGTTAGATGTGGCCATTAACATTATGCATTGGCACATCAGCATGACGGTGACAACAGTGTTGCTGTTAATAAGGAGTGAGTGGGATTCGTCCATTTAAAACCTATGTACTTAATCTGTACTGATTGGTGTGTTTGCACATCAGACAGCATCAAGCTCAGTCCTGCATTTGGGATGCAAGCCCACAGATTTTGTAAAGGCCACTGTGAGTGTATAATCCTCGCAGTTTGATGTGAGATCAAGTCCATCAATAGCGCGGCTCACCCGCATGCTAACCTTGACTGGAGGGCCCAGAAAGGAAGGACATTCTTCGTACTTGAAGGAGAAAAAAAATATTCTTTTGTTCTTATTGACTATTTCAGTGATAATTACATAACAAAATGAAGGAGGGAGGAAATCCGTGCGAATCCGCCTCTCTTATCAAAGACCACACAAGTAACTAGAGAATCTTAGTCCACATCCTGTGTGAGGTTTGGGTCTCTTCAGTGAACACATGAAAGCTTCGGAACCCTGCAGTGTTTAAGGAAATCAAAGGCCGTCAGTAACTGATACACGGGCCCCTATTTAAAGATGCCGACAGGTTAACCTTTGGTGAGGGCCTCATTGGCATTTCCTTTGCGGTGCTCGTGCTACATTGTGCAGAAGTTTGCATTTATATTCAGTAGCCGATGATGGAGGAGAAACGCAAAGACACAGCACAGACGGTCAGTTTGGAGCTTTTGGGATGAATAATTGAGGTACACATAGCTTGGCATCATCCAACACTTCATTTATTTTTTTTATCCATTATGCTGGAAATCCCATCATGCAATGTGTCGGTCATTAAGTCCCATGCAAGTAGAGTGTGCAGTCATTGTCATGCAAGTGGTATTGGGCATTCATTCAACACAAAGCAGCTGACTGCAGTGCAATGTCAGCCTGTCATTTGTTGAATCGAACGCTTGTATAACTCATGCATCAGCAACCTGACAATTAAGTCTATAGTACGGGCCGGCAACATAAAGAAAGCCCAGAGAAACTCTGATTACAACACATGGATGAAGTGTGACTTCATTTTCTGCTCAGAGTGCCATAACTCCACTATATCTTTACACAACAAATAGCTGTTAGCTGCAATAGTAATGCTCTCAATTTGGAATTTAACACCTCTAAGTATATTCAGCAACATAGCATTTAATACAGTGTAGTTTTTTGTAAGTGTAGATTTGCTACCAGTGGGTGTATTTTCAACTTTTCTGCTATGTTTCCCTGTGAGAGAGTCATGCCACTCAACCTTAGTAGGTGTTTCACCTACAGGGTTCCCCATCAGATGAGGAAGGGACCAGTCCGCCCAGCATGGCTGCCGGCGTCCCTCTGGCCCCAGCGCAGCTGCAATCAAGAACCGGGAGATATAGGGTGAGTTCAGATCCCAGATCGTCAGGCTAGGGCTGGGATGTGAACTCAAATGTGAACAATCCCGTGCTTCCTGCAATTCCCCTAGGGAAGGAATGCAGAGTTAAAAAGGGGGACGACTCTAACACTTTTTTAGTTACAAAGGTGCACACAGTAGATTTCAACCATCAGACTATTATCTTGAATGATTTCTCATTTAGAGGCAAGTAATGTTAATTGATTCATTTGCAAGTAATATCAATGCTGAAACTTGCAGGCTTAATACTTCGTGTTTACTCACCTTTCCTTAAATCCCCAAGAGACAGGTACTAATCTATCCAGTGCAGTACAGTTAAGGCCTACTACTGCGTGGGGCTTAAATATTGAGGCAATTTCATTTTAATTTTGTGATTCGTCTGTTTCTTGTGACATTTAATTGTTCTCACAATACAACAAAAGTCTTTGCAGAACTCGGTGTATCGTAATTACAGAAACGTGCTGTGAAAGCCCATGTGCAGACAATCACAACAGTGAATTTTATAAAAGCATGCACACAGAGCTGCCTACACATCACACACAACAATAATTAGTGACTCTGTTTTTCGGCACCGACACCTATGAGACAAAACAGCCATAAAAGCTGTAAAAATAATTGCCCAAAGAGGTTGTCTGATCCAATTTGCCAGAGGCAGGAAGGGCCCTAGTTAGGAGAAATTATTGAGTGAAAACAATTAGGCCACAAATAATTTTCAAAAAAGGTTTTTTCTTGTTTGAACCTCCTTGCACTTAAGGTGCCCCTGAATGGGTGTTTTTAGCATCCAACTCCCCTCATCCACAAATCCTCCCCTCTCTCTCTCTCTGTCTCTCTCTCTCTCTCCCCGTATTCCCTGACCACCAGTGAAATGTTTCTTTCGACTTGGACAACAGCAGTTTGACTGTCAACCCATTTCTGTCACTCCTATTAAGCGTGCATGGGTGAGATTCCTGTGACCCTGTTGTCCAGCTTCAAAGTATTTTACTTTATCATTTGCCCCGCTAAAGGTTATTTAAATATTCATTGCTTCCCAGCCTCGTCTCCATTTGTCTCAGAGTGGGAATGAAAAGCATGACAGCTGATTCACTCTAATACCCAGCCATTAAAGGACAGGGACAACAGGAAACATCTGGCAGCACATGGCAGTGCTGGTGCTCCATTTCTTTTTTTTTTGTGAGCCTGGGCTAAGGCATGACTGATCCTCTTCACGGTAGACCAAACACAAAAGGACGCACTGAAAACACCAGGCTCCGATGAATTCATTGAAGGAATCTGCAATGTGTTTAACATACTTGTTAAAAATGATTTATTTTTGAAGGTTAATTGTACTGTAGTGAATAAACACTACTGACCCTCACTTTTGTACAACAGACAGTTCTTTACCGACATGCAGCTCAGCAACAGCTCTTCAAAATGCACTAATGCATCCAAAACACTATACACTTCTCGGGGTCCGAGAAATGTATAATACTTAAGTACAAATTTGACTCGTAGGTCTACTTTAATTTAATGAAACTTTAAGATTTTATTCACAAAATATGCATTTTGATAGATGAAACTACCCAACAGTATATACAGTTGTTAAAATGAGTTCTACCTTTACATTCAGATGATGCATAGATGGTAACAAATGTTCCAATTCCAATGATAGAGTAAATGTAACACTTTGAATAAAGCCATTTCACAAATTGAGTACTTTCACTTTTAATACATTACAATTCGCTGCTAATACTTGTGTATTTCTACTTAAGTATGATTTTGCAGGAGCTTTACTTGTACCAAAGTCTTTTTCATTGCGGTAATTCTCCTTTTACGTAGGTCTTTTAATTAAGTAAAAGATTTGAGTACATCTTCCACCACTGTCAGGATCAATTCTTCAACCAGAACACTGATAATGTTTGTAACACTTTATTTACCTAATATGAAATCACCTAAAAATCAAAATGTCACAAGTTTATCGTATTTATTAGTTATTTGTAGACTTCATTACAACAACAAAAATAGTGCTTTTTTATTGCATGAATTGTGCTAAATAAACTTCACTATGCTAGTTTTTTTGGCCATTCTTGCATAAAGTAATCAGTACGTCAAGAAGCCAGCTGCTCTTAACATACTAACGTACTTTTCAGTCTTCAAATAATAAAATGAATGTCAACCATAAACAGTGACTTTAAGTCTTTGTTTTGTTGTTTCTGGATCACATTCATTTACAAAAATATTGATTGCATCGCCTCAAACCACATGAATAATATATGTTAATTCTTGTGTTGACTTGAATCCAATTTATACCTACAATTTTCCAGCAGCCACTATTCCAGACAATGCATTTTCTAGGGAAAACAAGTAAAAGGTTTAGCAGATTTAGTCACGCATCCCTAATGTGTACTTTCAGGACAACTATATGATGTCTAATCGTCTTCTTCTCTATCCTCTAAAGATAGTAATATGCTTTATGGGGGGAAAAGGGAAACCGTATCTGTGCCAGATGCAGACTCCAGTGAAACCGTGTCTAATTGTTTCCATTGTTATGTTTTAGAGACGTTTCCTTGTATGTTTGGCAGCTGATCAAATATTTATCAGAATTGGTGTAACCTGAACCCTTAAACTAATTGTTTTGGTCCTAGAGAGAATTCATGATTGTACTGTGCTTTTAGCACTAATCAGATACTTCAAACTAACATGTAATCGACCATCCACTGCTCAGTAAAGGCGAAGAATGTTCTGTTGTCAGTCTGTTGCTTTTATTGCTGAAAGAACAAATAACTATTAAATGCATGTGTTTGTGTTGCTATGAAGGTCAAGTTTCCATGGACACTAGTATCCTGGGTTTAAGTTTCATCCTGGCAGTGATCATATATGAGATATGAAATTTACATGGGACATGAGAAACCTGGTTATTCATATCCTTTTGTTATTATAACAATATCCAGATTTCTGAATGTCTGCATCAATATAGGTCTGACTCATCCGCATCCAGGAACTCTCATTTCTGTCCACACTGAGCTCCTTCAGCATTTAAGATCCAATTTTTCTTTCTGGCTGCAAGGACTCTGCTGCATTCTGGTTTTAGTTTCCCCATCGTATCAGCAGTAATAAGGGACGAGAGCAACAATACAGTTTATCTTCTATGTTGGAGTTTCAGACATTCTCTTCAGAGAGTGTTTCAAATACATGGGCCAGACGTGACCACAGTAGCTCCTACAGCTACCCTTCTTTTTGTATTCTTCATATGGGGTGGAAATAAAATAACATTGGTTCAATACGGAGGCCCTCCACAATAATGATGCGAGTCTCCTCCTTATGGCTAGACTTTGGGACAATCTTAGAATCCATCCCATGTCTGTGCTTCATTGACTAATAACTAAATAATGAATTCCATGTTTCTGAAACTAAGATATGTTTATATGCCAACATACAACTCAACAGGATTATTAGTGTGCATGTAAACACCAAAGTGGGATTGAACCTCCATGTAAAGACTTGTAAACACTCAGTATAAAGCTCATTAGTGCAAACTGCTGTTGCTTCAATTCCCTGACGAGACATATTTATTACTACCCAACATAATCTTGACTGATTTAAGGTGTTATTGATTTTATATGTTGCCCAAAATTAGGTATCTCATCTTGACTAAACCCAGAAGGCTCATGGACAACAAAGCTAAGCTTTATATATTTAATTACTGGTGCCGAGGCAAAGCCAAATATTCCTGTTTGAGAAACACGCAGAAACAGAAACCTGAAATGCAGCCATGACATCTCGAATGGAGATCGCATGTGTCAGACACAGTCATTATGCTCCACTGCTGACCCCGAGTCCCACCTTGCCAGCCCCCACAGATTAAGTCTGTCAGGTTGGCAAAATGTGGTCCATCTTCCATATGTATGAGACAGCATCTCGCTGTGTAATTGGTACATTTCTGTATGAGCGCTCAATCTGAGGGGAAGATAACTGCAAGGATGTTTAACTCTGCTAAAGAGAAATATTTTTTGGTTTATTTACATGAGCGCACTGCTACTTGTGTGGATAAGATATGAGAGGAATTTCTGACAGGAATTTCTAATAAGAGGAGAGTCGAGTTATAGATGTTCAGGTCCCATCTTTGTGCGCACTTCTTAAAAGCGTTTATTTCCTTGCAGCTACACTAGAGAAAGGAAAGTCATGTTGAACATCAGGGAGAGGAAGCTCTAAAATATACAACAGGCACAATGAATAGGCAGATGAAATCTATCACCATTAACATCACTAAGAGTGTGAATACTGTAAAGCAAAAATATGGAATGTGTTTTATACCAGGACACTAACAAGTTACAGACATTTCCACACACAAATACAGGCGCTGTTCTTGCACTCAGTCAGATTTTTATTTGTTACTGTTTTCTTGCCCTATGTAAACATCATATATGAAAATAACTTTTAATCCCACTGGACGGTTGTCTGAAATATCAGGATGTTTGGCTGTTACAGTTGAGACAGTTTTATATATTCTCTACCCCACCACTCCATCTTTTAATGTTGCTCATATTCAACCTGTGGCTGCAGTGCATTCAGCCATTAATTCAACAAAAAATACGAGCCTGGCCACTTCCCATTCGATGCATGTTAATGCATCCTGGCAAAATTGGCTGATAAAAGTCACATTAAAGCATGCATTATTACCACAGCCCTTTCATTTCACACAAAACTGAACCGTGAACTGAACTGAACTGTTGTTGTTGCTACAATTCAATTAAAGTTGGTGGAAATATGGCTGTCTGGAACTAATGCAGTTTGGGAAAGGTGATGGCAAAATTACAAAACAAAATGTATTTCACAGCACAACATCCAGCATATAAAGGAATAGTAAAAATGATAGAATTTAGTCGCTTTACTGCCAAGAGAAAGACTAGAAGTTTGATACCAATCTTCTGGCACTAAATATGTAGCTGGAGCCAGCAGCTAGCTAGCCAAGCTTAGCATAAAGATTGGAAACAAGGGGAAGCAGCTCTGTCAATTAACAAGCTCACTAATTAACACGATGTATCTCATTTGTACAATCCGTACAAAAACCGAACAAATATAAATTGATGCATTTAAATATTGACTGCAGCAGTTTTGGGAGATGTGTGGACTTCAGATGGATACGTGAACTACTTTAATATGACTTATCAGAACCATTTGTTTGGTTTCAGTTGCTGCTCTCCACAGAAATCACATATTTTATCAAATGTGAGCTGCAAAAGGGTTATCAAATATGAAACATATGCACCCTCTAAGCTTAGTACAGAGTGCTGAGTTACTGATAGAGCAGACCCAGAGCAGAAGATGCCCTCAAAAGACTGTTTGATGAGCAGAAGAAAAATCGAATATGTCGAACAGTTGACCTTTCGCGATTTGGAAACAGTTTGTATTTTTCCACTCCATGTAATTGCATTACAGTTCATTTTCCGGTCAGGAGACTTGGTGAAGATAGAGTCAAGCGAGCGGCAGCAGCACAGAGCGCTGCATAGCACTGATTTACATGTTGCAGAGGTGGAGAGATAAGCCTCTGAACTGTTTCCTGAGGCAGGCCGCAGCAGAATGCAGCAGAAATACTGAATATCATCAACACTACTTTGTAGACTCTCTTGTTAGTTATTTCTGGTGATTTTATTCAAAGTCTGCTCCAGGCTCTTTTTGTTAAGACACAAGAAGCCTAATAAAACTGGCTTGGTGAATCATTTATTAACTTGTCTCTTTGTTTATGAAGACAGTATGAGATGCATGTAATGGGAATATTCTTTAATTGGGAAATATCAGCACAGGGGCAGGCTGTTCACTCTACTGACCAGTAGTAATCATATAGAGCACACCAACGGAAGAAGGTGAAACCTACTGAATCATCTAACCCAGATTTCTCTTCCCTCCCCCTCTGCCCACAGCCGTCACCCTGTGAATGGTGCCGCTGCGAACCAAATAATGAGGTACACTGTGTGGTGTCTGACTGCGCCGTCCCAGAGTGTGTCAACCCTGTGTACGAGCCAGAGCAATGCTGCCCCATCTGTAAAAACGGTAAACACTCGTCTCCTCTGGAATACAACGCACACTCTTCAGAAGTCATTACATTTTCATTAAAACGATGACGGCAACTTTATCTGTGGTATCGCCATTTGATGGCCGTGCCTTTAGAGGATGAGGACGTAATTGGTGTTTTATGAATTAAAATTATTACCTTGGGCCCGTTGGACACTAATGAGCAGTACTAGTTTTAATTATAAATGACACACTAAGCAGAGTAAACATTAGCCCATTGATTAAAGGCATAGAAGGGACTAATGGGTCCTCGGAGAGCCTTTTATCTCCCAGTGCCCTGACGCCCTTGTCACACACAGCCAATCCCTAAATTAGAATTATAGGATTCCAATGGTTCACTGGCTATTTACAAGGCGAGGAGGGAGATTTCCCTTTGCCAGCACCAATCCTGAGGGACAGATGGAGCTTTATGACTAAAGTACAGTAACTGTTCGACTGCAATGTGATCCGGGCTGGAATGCCAAACAGTAAAGAGTGCCTGTGGGTAATATTAAATGCAGTCACAACACAACGTTGCATCCTCTGTTTTGTCATTTGGCTCAAATGTAAGCTTCAGATCATTTGAGAGCTGAAAGAGCTGGCAAAGAAAGTTTTCCTAAACTCAAATGAAAAACCTGACAAACAATTAAAGATGCACTGACTTGACAACTGTATGCTTTGTCTTTTCATTATGTTGAGTGCCACGCCAAAATAAGGAAATTGTTCACGAGTATTCCTGTTGAAATACACTAAAAGGAAAGTCCTGAAATATCTTTTCTTTTGTTTTCAAGCAGTGGTTGACCTATAAATGTGATAAGAGGCGCATGCTAAATGGCTATTTCACAACAACATACCCACATTTTCTTTCACCCTTTCTTCTTTATCCTCCTTGCTTTCTTTCTTTTATTTCGAAACACATACACACACACAAACATCCACACTAACAAAGCTGCAGTAGCTGCTAGAAAGGGAGCTAATCCAGGCTGACAGGACACAGTGACACACTTGGCATTTCAGGGTAGGCCTGCCGATTCCAGGCTCCCCAAGGGTGCATGGTCAGGCTCTGGCAGCCAGTTAAATCTCTATGGGAGCTGAGGGCTGTGGGGAGAGGACAATGAAGAATGCTGTTTAGCTCTCGTTTTTTTGGCCAAGGGACAGGGGGCTGTGAAAGGAAGACATCTACTTCTGTGCTTCGGCTTGACATGCAATCAGTGGAAGACAGTCATACATTTGTTGTCTTCACCTGCTGAAAGTGTTTGGTTTCAAATCATTATGTGAAATGATTGCAACCCTCCAAAATGTCGATGTGTTTTCTCACAAGGGAACAATTATATGACACGGACATGAATTGCAACAGTTCATAGTTTGGTGTGGTGATTGTGGTGTCTGCTTAACCCCAGACCCATCAGATTTAGTAAAAGGTTTTTTAACATTTAAAGCTAGGGTTGGTAATGTACGCTAGATTAAAAAATATTATCCAAATTAATAATTCAGCCCAGTGTTGCCAACTCTTTTCAAATTAAGGTATATAACAGCACTAGCTCCCAAAGTTACTAAATTTTGATTTATTCACTGCTGTCTGGATGTACAAATATAACAAAAAATATTTTGGGGAAGATTACCAACCCTGCCTTTAACAAGGCCTGGTACATCCATGCTAGCAGCATAGCAGTGCGGTATCCCCACACTGCATTAGCACTGTTCCCACACAGGTGAAAGATCTTGCTGAACCCACTCCTTCTGAGATGGTTTAAATTTCAAAACCAATCAGAAGTGACAAGGGGTGACCCATTTACCAAGGGCAGAAGTGTTGTGAATTAATGTTAAAACCTTAATGTGCGGATGTGCTTTTTGGCTTGTGAATGCCCATTGTCAAAGCTTTCTATTATTAGGATCGTCTGCCTCTTGGAGACCCTGAAAACAGCAACAGAGAGCAGAATGCCACACAATGGAATAGTTAGCCAGGGTGCTTATCTCTGAGATCCACGTTCATTGAGTCCGACTGATTCAGCTCTTATCTTTATCATGAATTATATACTGTAATACTGTAGGAGATACGTGTAATTATATATTTCTCATGAAGAAAATGATAGTGAGAAGTGTGTTGAAAATGGCCAGCATCTTCTCACTTTGATGGGATTAAGCCATCTACGTATCTGCCTGAAGACTGACATCATGGATTTTTAACAGACAGACACAGTAGCAGTTCTATATATGGCTACAGTTAGGTCACACATTCAGACTGACGTCAAGCTAAGGACAGCTTGCAAGTGTTTGTAAATTAAAGGTTTTTGGCAGATGAGCTTGTATGGAAGCATTTCTTACCTCTAGGAAAGAGCTATAATCATATTTGAGCCAAATAGACTGTAATGAGCCCTAGTATGCATTCACTCCTTAAGATGCAGTCATGGAAAGTATGATGTAGGACACAGGATAAAGAGTTCCTGACTTCACTAAATTGTATTGGCCATGAATCGATCACAAGCTCGGATGGGTGACATTGTGCCCTTCGAATGGTAACAGGTAGCTGAAACTGTGTCCTTGTGGCTCTAAGTCTATCTTGCAATAAACAATCACACTTGGCAGCCAGGACCAGTCGTCCTCTTCCCTCATCAACCTCTACTGAGTTTGTCCTGTAACCTGTGCCAGCTGTCCAGAGGCAGATCAATGAGAGTTAAGACTTGGCAAGCGTTCTCAATGTCTCCTCTAAGCTCAGATCAAAGGCCTTCCATCAGGTCCAAAAAGGACTCAAATATAGAAATAGAATGATTTCTATTTTTACTTTAATTTAGAATTTTAGTGTTTTACTGATGAACTGAAGGATGAAGTGTTCGTTTTTGGGTGGAGACATTTCTCCTACTGAAGACTTCTTAGCTGGAAAATGCATCGTCACATAGCTGAGAAACGGGGCTGTTTTTCTGAGCTCATGAAAAGTTGACTTTGTAGAGATACGTGGTTCTCACAGGACAGCGGAGCTACAAACATATGATGATCGTATAGCCTATGATGCAAGGCTGTTGATTACCCAACGGTATTCGAGGTTCTGAAAATTAGCACAACCTTCAACAGCTACAGTAGTAGAATGCAACACACACATTAATGTGGCAGTAAAATAATCCAAAAACATCACATGTAACTGTAAATCAGTGACTCGAACATTTTACTGCGCATGGACTACTTTGACTTTTGATACTTTAAGTAAATATCACTGATTATACTTAGATACATTTACCCAAGTAAGGTTTTGAATACAAGACTTACTTACAGTTGAATATTTTCAGTGTGGTGTAGATAATTTTACTTCATTAAAAGTTAGGTAAAAGTAATGCATAAACATCAAATAAAGTCAACTTGGCCTTACTCATGCTTTGAGTCAGTGTGACTTTCAATATTTATCAACCAAGACTACGATCTTTAGCAAACCTTAATCGTGTGCTTTGAGTTGCCCCAACACGATCATAAAACGCACTCGTGTCACAGCAGACATGTTGACTAGTAGGAAAAGAACAGATGTTCCTAATGTTGTTGACAATGGCTCTGTCCCAGTAAGCCGTGACAGTGCGACAGTGAACCAGCATGCACACAACCAGGACCACCGAATTTAAAGCAGCTAAATGGAATACAGCCAATCATTCATTTTAATTAACACACCCATGCCTTTCCTACTGTGACATATCAACATGTCTTCCAAAAAAAGGCCTATTCTGTACACAAGTTGAGTAATTGTGCAGATATGCAAGCAGCTGGCCCGTGTCCCCAAATGTACCCTGCAACACTCCTCAGGTCAACTTCCCATACAGTTTCATTGCTAATGTTAAGTTCGCCTGGACTAAATCAAATTCACTGTGACACTAAGATGTCCATGAAAATAAGATGTAAAAGCTACTGTGTCTTCAAGAGTTATGACACATATGAGTTTTTTACGACTACTCATCGAGTCTTGAATCCAGCTAGTTTTACGGCTCTGTATACTGAGAGCAAAGTCACCGTCACACCAATTGAGCTGCTGATTGCTTCATCGAGATGATTAAATTTGGGAAGACTTCCTGGCACCTTCTGGCTGTGCTCTCTCAAAAAGTAGAGGGAGATTTACGCCACCTCAAATCGCCCCGAGGCAGGGAGAAACAAATCAGATTGAATTATTTCAAGTGGTATTTTACCAATAATAAATGCATCGCATTCCCGTTGTCGGCCTCCACGAGTGCAGATCCTAAAATGTAGCCAGGATTAATCTGTCTCTCTATCTACTGAGATTATCAAATACATGGGTATGAGGTGTTCCGCTGGTACACAATCAAACTGGTTTTAGAATTGAAAATCAACAAAAAGGGATCCGTGCAAGTAAATCCGACATGGGTTTCAGGATAAATCAGATGTCAAAATTAATCTGAGTTCTTTATTGCGCAGGGTGTGTGTGTGTGTGTGTGTGTGTGTGTGTGAGAAGAGAAATCATGTAAGGAATTGCTAAAGAGTTCTGTGGCCTTTTCATACAGACTGAAGTGATTAACACCATCCTCCCTACTGCCTCTCTCTGTACTCCAGTCTCTCTGTACTGCCAAGCCAGCGTCCTGGCAGCTTCTCTGCTTGCAGCGCATTAGGATGCAAAGCGCTCCATGTCGAGGGAGAAGGGGAGACTAACAAAAGCGCTTTAGTGTTGCAAAAACAAGCCCATCGGTGCATGCCCGTGAAAAGATCTGTACGTCTGCTCTGACTCCCCTAACTCCCTGCAGCTCTCTGCATCACTCCACCACCCCTCCAAAAAGAGAGGCCCTCAGGAGAGCCACATCCATTTCTTGTCGTTCTCATTCCTTCTTTCCTGTCTGTCTCCCCCTTCCCATGCGGCAGGTCCAAATTGCTTTGCTGGAACAACGATCATCCCAGCCGGAATTGAAGTAAAGGTGGACGACTGCACCATCTGCCGCTGCCACAACGGAGACTGGTGGAAGCCGGCGCAGTGCTTGCGGCGGGAGTGCCTCAACGGCCAGACGTTGTCATAGAGAGACTCCACAGGGGGATGGTGGAAAAGCTCAGGCATGGCCCTGCCTACTGCACCATTTTGTATGATTGACAGGGCAGGAGCACAATTCCTAAGGAACCTGAGACAGCGCAGCATCGAAGAGATGCTCTCACAAGCTTCACACAAACACAAATGTAGTCACTGAGAAGAAGTCGGAACTTGTCACAAGGCTGTTTCCACCGTCCAGTTGTAATTGTCCTATATATATTTTCAGAAGTTGACTTGCTGCTCTCACACAAAAAAAGTTTCTATGCTCCTTGAACACTTTCCTAACCATTGGCAATGTTGGATTGCTCATGATTTCTGTACGTACGTCATCTGCTTGTTGTACTTGTCTCTCACAATCACGCAGGTGTTGTAATATTCCAACAGCAGGAAAAACAAACTGTAAGCACACTTAACAGCGCTTTTTTTCTTGTCATATGAAGATTGACACCTGTGAAAGCACTGCAAAAGTGTGCTCGAGTTTCAACACTTCACTCTCAGAGCTTGTTTACAAGATGCACATCTCACATAAACGTTTGTGTCTTTGGAAGACTTTTGACCGCTATGGCAGCAATTCACCTCTAACAGTCAGATGATGATACCGTTCATTTTATTAACTGCTCTAAAACCCTCAAACGCAGATTTTATTGCTCTCAGCATTCAATGGTTTTGAGTCATGTCCCAGCACAGGCACAGGAAGTTGGAACTGTAGAATTAGTAAAGCAGGAAATGTGGTGGCAAGCAACGATGAGAAGAGCAGATGTAAATTTCTGCAACACTGCATCAAAACCACAACTTTGGGCAGCCTCTTCCGGTTTAATTGTCGTTATTGTTTTCTCTCAGAGGTCCATATCCTCCAAAATATTCCCGCTAACTAACTGCTTGAACTTGTTATCAAAGCAATTAGCCAGCCAAGAGCAGCCTGCTTTAATTTCCCCTAATCAAGGAGTATTCTGTGATAAATCATCCAGCTGGGTGCTTGGCGCTGCCGCAGCCTGCACACTGGGCACACTCCACCAGAACCGGCAGACAAAAAAGAGGGAATATGCGTATGTCTAAATGCTTTCACGTGCACACACATGTGAACATGCACAAGCACGCCATTCATCCACAATCTCATAGCCGCAGTATGTTGATCTGCACCCAGTGAATCACTTAAACCTATAAGGCTTGCTCTGTTACAAAGCTGTTACATTATCCCACTGCTATAGATCGTGTAATAGATTTTCAGCCCCTCCCCTCTCCGATATGTTGGAAAAGCTCTTCCAATGCGGTGTGGCTATATGGGCTACAACATAAAGACAAGCTAAGATATTGCCTCGATATTTCCCAACACCAAAGTGGTCCTCAAGTGGTCCAGTCGGAAAGAAAAAGCACCCACCCGGGGCCCAAACCACGATATTTTTTGAGATGATAAATACTAGTCATTAATTCAAAGGTGAATTCCAGTAGGCTCATGCCATTCATCACTAGAATTTTTTCCATTTCCAGAAAATCCGTTCCCGTTAACCTTTTAGACCCTATTCCTGGGTGGTGATGGATGTGCTGCTTAATAGCAGCTCACAGCACTTTGTAATGAGACAGAAATGAACATAGCATAAAGACCAATGAATAAAGAGGTATACTACCTTAAAAGGCACTAAAACTAATTTTTGGAAGAACCCCATGGTCTGCAGAGTCTGCTGCATATTCTAAAGCTGCAGCACACGGTTGATGGAGGGATGAATTTAAAAAAGAGTGTGGGTGGAGTTCAATCCTAAGTGCAACAACGGAGCTTGGGTCATTTTCATCATTAACCTAGAGTGATTTAGTGTCTCTTACTGTGAAAAGACAGTCCTCATCTATCTGGCTTGAGGTCTGCAGACTCAAAACAAAATTGACACCTACGGTTTATCAATCACAGTCTATATGCTCCAGATATTTTAGGATTAATAAAAAAAAAAAAAAGCATCTTTATTATTTTCGATGCCAAATAATTATTCAGCCTGTACGTGAATCTAAAAATCTATTGGAACAACTGGGTAGCAGACTGAAGTGAGCGTGCTTGGGCACATCAGTGGCATTGCTATCACCACTGATGCCTTTTTGCTACTGTTCCAGATAAGATTCACAAAGCATGGCCTTTGGCTTCAAACCGTGTGAACAGCCCAGAATGCTTTAAGTGCCATTTCCTTCACACTCCTCTGTGCAATAGTTTAATGCTGTGTAGTACCCAAAAATAGTTATTGCTTTACCCTTCCAGCCAGCTGGGTGAATTAGTATGAGGAGTATTTGGAGTACAATGGCAAGGACACAGGCAGTTAAAAAGACACAGCTAAAAGTCATCTTGGTCTAAATAACAATGTTATATGGCAACTCATTGGAGAGTTTGATTGCCCGGATTCAATTTCCTTCCATGCTTCTGAGATTCATTGCATTTGTTAAAATAATCTGGGGTGCCATGGCTGCTCATCTCCTTAATTTGCCAGCTACAAGCTGCTGCCATCAACTACATGTGAAGGTAGGGGTGCAGAGGGTAAAGTGGTTGTCAACATAAAGTCATACCTTTCAGACCCAGATCCTGCTCAATTGGCCCTCCGTAAGAGCCGAGTTACGTTCCATGCTGTTAGTGGGAAGCAAAATAAAAGAGAGATATGAAATTAAATCAGCAAATCATAGATTCAGAGCAGGTACAGTCAAAGAAAAGCATGCAAAGGAGATGCAAGAAAACAGCAAGACTGTAAGTAGGTTGACTCCTTAAACAGTCATGGGAATTACTATAAAATTACTAAACCTGATGAATTAGGATCCACATGGATTAACATACAGTAGATTCCTATGTGTGCCATTTAAAATAATAGGCAAGCATTTGAATAACACAATAAAAAAGGCATTTCGGAGAAAAGCCTCTTTCTGAGCCAACCAGGGGGAATTACATTTCTCCTTGCAAATGCGTGAAGCTTGCACAGTTTCAAGGACAGACCGGCAGCACAGTCCGTCTTTGTTCCTTTTCTCCCAAGAAATCTGAGTCTTCATGTCCGTCTGTAAATATTTGTTCAAATGACCCCTAGCTGTCCTCAAACCATTCACACCGCAGGCTTGTACATGAGCGTTTTCTAAAAGGTACACCATCTGCTTTTTCCATGAGACACCGACTTACTGTAGCTGGAAACTCTGTTTTTTCCAGCAACAAAACTGTTACATAAAGTGTGCCTGAAAACCAACACAGAACACGAAGAGAGAAACGCTGTTATTATACAATCAATTGTATTCATTTTTTTTTGGGGCACCAAGGGTCTGTTCATGAGGGACTCAAAGGATAGTTTCATTTCTATAACAAATTTGAAATTGAGGTTTAAAATTAAGATTGTATGATGATTGTATTTGACCACATGCTCGCACAGGTTCACTCTACGCTGTACAAGAAACAAGGTCAAACATTTTTAAAGTAAAAAAAAACAAAAAAAAAAAAACACATTGGTGTTGCCCATGTTGCTCATATGTAAATATTTTCAAAGTTTGAATGTGTATTCTGAAATCTGAGGTGGAGTAAAAAAAAAAAAAAAAAAAGTCATAAGAAATGAAAAAATGTGTATTATTGAGCGAGACAAAACCTATTTTGTTAAATAGACTTGAAAAGAAGTGTTATTCGGCAAAATTGTGTGGATTTATGTTTTTGTGTTATCGTTTCTACTCTGAATTATGCTGATGCTTCCCAACACAAGATGGCAAAAAATAAGACCGTTAACGACCGATGAACAGTTGAAGTCGTTCATTTGAACCCTTCAGGATGCTGCAGATCTCCTTGAATTTAGCCCTTTTCTGTTTTAAAACCACAAAAACAATAAAACGTTATGAAACTTAACAGCTGACCCAGAACAAAGCCGAACTCCAGGTAACCTTTCTAGAAGTAGGAAAAAAAAAAAAAGTAATACAATATTTGGTTGAAAATAAGAATATACCAGTTCGTAATGCTCAGTGAGTTCAAGGGCACGACTCACAGGTTTATTTCTCTATTCCATTTCATTACAAGTCAGTTTGGGCTTCTATCTCGTCCGTACTACTAATTGCCTTCTCTCGCCTCCCGCCGTGGACAAGAAAAGGGAGGCAATTTTATGCAGCACATAGCAATCAATAGCAATTAGGTGCATCCCTGACTAATCCCTTTGAAAATGGCATATTGGGAGATGGCCAGTAGGACTCTTAAAGCACACATAGCTTCAGGCCACACACCCACACACCCACACACACACACACACACCCACACACACACACACACAAACCCCTTGTGTACACAAAGGTGGACACCACAAGTGCCAGTACTGTGAGGAAACAATTAATTGCTTTGTATCCTATGTATTTATATATATCCTATGTCCTCTCCATCGATCTTTTTCGGGGACAGGCATTCTCAACTAAGTAATTATCTTTTCCTGGTAAACCAATGCAGATTATGGAATGCAATTCCACCCTAAAACCAGACAACTACATAACTAGAGGTTATGCACAGATACAATTACATCAATGATTCATTCAGGAGTTGGGTTGGTGAAGGGCCGTGAGCGATGCAGGCATTGTACTGGAGTGTCATGGTGAAGAGGGAGCAATTTACCAGCACTGCTTTACCAAGCTTCACCTGTGGCCGACAGCTTTGGCTAATGACTGAAAGAATCAGATCAAAACAAAGCGGCTGAACTGAGTTTCCTTCGCAGTGTGGCCCGGCTCACCTGCAGAAATATATCGAGGGGTCTGGATATATGGATGGAGCTCAGAGAGGAGTAGCTGCCCTTTTGCGTGCAAAGGAATCCATTAAGGTGGTTTGGGGGGATCTAACTGGGGGGAAAACCCGGGACAGTCTATTTTCAAATGCCAGGTTTTTCCAGGACCGTACAAACCCTGAGTATATGTAGCAGACATTATCTCTCACACACACACACACACACAGGAAAAATAAATCGACAACAAACCGTTTAGATTAACACTTTAATTTCAAATGTTAAGAGCCACATAATTGTTTTAATGTTTATGTTATTCGTGGTAACTTAAAACCACCATATTAAAAAAACAACAACATGATGACCATACTTAAGAACAAGTGATTTTTCAGTGCAAAATCATTATTGGATATATGAAAGATTGTTCAGACCGGGGTTTGAGAGTCCGACACAGGGAGGAGCCGGAAGGCCTTGATGCAGTCGATGAGCCAGGTGGAGGGAGCCGACCACACCTTACCTCTCCTCCTCACTGCTGGCTTGCGAGGGCCCTGGGGGTCAAAGATGATGTACTGGGTGCAGAGGGCCTGGTCAGAGCCCGGCAGTGCGTGGTAGGCAGCGGCACTCAGGGTTTGCGTTACGTCGCTGTCGGGCTTGGGCTGCCGGCTCAGGAGTTGACCTCCTCCTTCCCGGAGCAGCTTGGTGAGCTCGTCTTTGGAAGGCGCCGTAAAGGAGCCGAGGAGGAAGAAGAAACAGCCGTCGAAGAGCGGCGGGAGCTACGAAAGACGAAGGATTAGAGAAAACAAATTCAAGCATTAGTGGAAAATTCAAAGCAAAAGACAGAAAAAAAAAAAAAAAAAAAAAAAAAAAAAAAAAAAAAACTCAGTCCTTGTGAGAACAGTGGCGAAGGGATTAAAAGTCACCCCGTTTTGTTCATAATAAAGTTAAATGCTGAATCACTTCTTGCCAATAAATCTAGGCTCTCATATTACCAAGCATCGGTGCGGATGCTTTGTACTTGCTTCTTTGCGGCAGAGCCAGGAGACGTTTTTTATCAGCACCACTTAGCATTGCTGTTTAAAGGCAGCAGTGTATTAGGCCACTGGAGACTGTTCTATTCACAGCATCAGTGAACTCAAACTGCTTTGGGGCGTAAACTGGCTCCCTCAAGAGTTTCTAGAAAGAACATTCTTTGACTACACTTTGGTTGGATTTCACTTTTGCTTACACACGTGTGTGTGTCCTTAACTTCTGATTAAGATTGATGGACATTTTATTCTTTACAAGGAAGCAACCAGAAGAAAGCAACAATGGGGTGATCTTAAATCTACTGAAGAACATGTGTTTATGACCATGTCCACCTCTTGTACTAGTCTGCTTCTTAAGCCTAACGCCTGATTGCCGATAAAGAAATATTCACTACCCTTTGACTTTTTCCTATTTCATTGTTTTACTACATTGATTCCCAATGGGTGGAAGTCACTTTTTTGACATTAATCAACAGAAAAAGAACAATGTTTCGCATTGTAATGAAAATTCTACAAATCTATTTAAACTAAGTGCACTAGGTTTAAAAAACGATATTATTCACCACCTCCAATATTTAGTAGAGGCACCTCCAGCAGCAAGCAGATCCTTGAGTGTGTAAACAGGTCTGTATCAGCTTCACCGTCTAGTCTCCATTCTTTTTTTTAGTAGACGACAAACGCTCTGTCGAGTTTCATTGGGACTGGTGAGGGAGCCGAGATGTCCTGCTATAAATTCTCCTTTGGACTGATGTCATGACTGCGACTCGGCCACTGCTGGACATTTATGTTGTTGATCTTTTTTTGGAGAAACCCTTGTGTAGCTTTTGGCTTTGTTTGGAGTTGCTGTTTTTGTGTAAAATAAATCCTCTCCCCAAATCACAGTTCTCTTCTAGACTGCAGCGAGTTTTCCCTCCAGGATGTTGCTGCATTCATTTCACTCTCCACCCTCACAAACATTACAAGGCCTGCTGCAAAGAAGCATCCCCACAACATCCTCCTGAGAAGGCTTTGAGGTGGGAATGGTGTGTTTCTGCTGGTGTTTGGATAACACCAAACAGTCTAAAACCCAGTCTTACCCCATTGGTACCTCTCAGTATGTCATTCTGCATGCGTTTGTCTATTTATCTCAAAACGGTTAACTGAACAACCAAATATATATGCGTGGCATGTTATACATTTCCTATTTGTACAATACATGTATTTAATTGTTGCATTATGATCAGCTTTAAAACATTTTAAGTATTGTTTCTCACAGTGAAACACAGTGTCTAAATCACACAGAGTTTCAAAAGATGAAAAAGTCAAAGTCATTCCTTTAAATTATGTTTTCTTCCCTTGGACAGAGAGTCTAGACGATCTACAATCATCTAGTTCATGTGTTTGTGTGTTTCTCATTTACCAAGCTATCTCTGTTGATGCGACTGCGCTGGGGGCCTTCTCCCGCCTGGTGCTCGGCTTCGGGCGTCCACTCGCCTGCCTGCAGACATGCCTCCACCCCTGACATCAAAGAGAGACAGAAGGAAATTAAAGCTACCGCTAATTATGTTGACTTGAAGGAGTGCGACAAGGGAGGATGATAAAGCGCATGTCTGTTTTAGCACAAATTGGAAGATTTGAAGTATTGGCAAAGCTGCAGTTGTTGACAGAGAAAATGCCCACAGCATGATGGAGTTAATGATGCAACCCTTGCTTTGAGCATCATCTCTCCATCTCTTGAGTTCTTACAGAGTCAAATTAGAACAATGTGACAGCTAGAGTCCCGGACATTTTTTTTGTTAGAAAATAATCTTTTGGTCTAAATCCTTAAAAAAAAGCATCTTGAAAGAAGAAAAAGTTTTATAAAAAATAAAATAGAAACACAGGCAGATACAGAGGCGGAAAGCAACACATTTTAATGACCCCTCACTGTGACAGATAAAAAAAAATGCTTCTGAACATGACAGATCACAAGGCTGCTGTTCCCCGTTAATGGTAGATTATGGAGTATCATATGCTTGGGGTATTTAAAAAACATCTAAACACATTGAAGCTAGATTTGGTTGACAAAGTAAAGGATGGCTGTGAAATACATCCGAGCATAAGTCTGGGCTTGACTAACTATTTATATTGTGAACGTGACGAGACTTCTCACAGCACTCCCAACTCAGAGATGCAAACAGCACCGCAGACCTCATACACATCTGCAAAGTATCTGCATTCTGCATCAGCCACACAACGTTGAGATTCATATCAACTCCAGCTGCAGTTTAGTGTTCTTCACGGTTGCTTTTAGCTGCAAGACATAGCGGCATGAACAGATTAGTATAAGTGTGTGTATGTGTGTGTAAACCTTGTCACAATACAGCAACGGTTGATGACACGGCAAATTACACACATACAGTACACACACACATACAGTCGCCAGAGCATGGGGTGGGGTGTAATTACGTCTGGTCATCCCCCTTAATTACAGCTCTTAATTTGCAGGGACCCTGCCAGAGACACTGGGGTTAAACGCTGCGGACAATGGTGCTTAGTTCTGAAACAATTAGCATATTTGCTAATTACGTTCACGAAGACTGAATGCAGAAAACATGTCAAAGCCCTTCCTTCCTGAGTCGCTGAATGAGTGAACAGCCAGATGAAACCACTTCCTTGATAAACCATGAGACCAACTGGAGCGGAGGTTGTCCTTTCATTCTGAGGACAACAGCTGGATGCGAGGGTTTGACTGATGTGAAGCTCAGAAGGCCCACACTGACATCTTACGATCGAGACGGGGTACAATAGCGTACCCTTAGTTAGTATCCTGAAAACCAGCCACTGTATTCAGATGTGCACAAGTGGCATAGCAGCAACACGCCGGCCGACAGTTGAGTCCCCAATCCGATCCCTAATAGCGCTGCCTCCGGCGGGGCCGTGTGTCTAATGGAGCCTCTCGATGGCAGCCGAAGAGAAGCAGCTGAAACTTGTGTGTAAAGGGAGGAAGCACATGGGTGCACACATCCTCCCCGGGCCAACAGTGGGAGTAGCCGCAACATGGACCAAAGTGCAGTGAAATTAACCATCACAAAATGGGAAATAAATGGAAGAGAGGAAGGAATTATTATTGTAGTTTTTTTTTTTTTTTTTTTTTTTTTAAAAAGGAGCAGTTCAGCATGTTCTTCAACACACTCTTTTTGCTTTCTTTCAGAGAGCGAGACGAGAATATCAATCTCGCACTTGGCGTCTGTGCATTAAGCGCTTCGCAGCATCTCCAGCTATAGATCAGGGTGGCCAGATACGCCTGATAACTCGAGCATCGTATAGTATTTAAATAGTACTTAGCTATCCCTGGAGCCATAACGTGTCTGTTTTACATCTTCGCTAATGAACAGGTTCCACGAATGGGATACAACATGTTAATTAATGAGCTTTTAATGTATCGGTTTGGTCTTCAACACACACACACAGTGTGACCTCATTCTCTGCTCAGGACGTCATAACTTCACTATATCGTTACATCGCAAATCGTTCTTTGCTGCTATATTAACGCTCTTAATCTGGAATTTTGCAAAGTGAAGTCATAGGTGTTGATGGACAAGAGGATTCAAACCATTGTTTGAAGCTTGGCTAATACTTTTAGCTGTACTGGAGCCCTGTTAAGCAGAAGGAAAATGTGTTTCAATCAAATGTAAGACGGATAAAGATGTTAGCTCGGGCTCGGTCGGGTTGACAGCGATGGCACATAAAGGTAGGTGACAGTGAGAACTCAGCTGCACACATGCAGAACAAGGACAGAGTCAGATAAGACGCCAAAGTGATTGTCATGATGGAGACGAGCGGTGTCAAGTGCTCAGCCTGCGAGGAGAGAAGAGAAGGGGACGGGCTGAATATGGTCCAAACACAAAGTCTTCTCCAGTGACACCAGCACACACCTGAACACACACATTCAAACTCAAAGTGGCTGATAGAGACAAGCACGTGTGCCGCTTCACTCCACACACACTCCGAGTGAAGAGATGCTACCGACGGACCCAGCAGTTAAGGGCACACCAAGGTGCCAGAGAAGTCTTTGACAGAAAGACTCTTTTTACTTCCCCTAAATCAGTCTCTCTCTAAATATCTGCTTGTTGACTTGGTTCAAGGATGCCAGCGAGACTGACGGGGAATAGCAACATTTTTGCAAAGTATTCATCTTGGTATGAATCACACAAGAAGAGAAAGTTGGTCATATTTTCATCGCTAGTAATATTGAAGTCTTGAGGAGCACAAACAGCTTAACTAAAAATTGCTGGATGCTAAAAGTTCTTTTCATTTTTTTCTAGGACATTCCAATGTTTTGCAGAAAAAAAAAAAAAAAAAAAAAAAAAGTATTTCATTTAGTTACATAAACTCCATAAAATGACTCCAAACTGCTTGTGCAGCACAATGCATTTGTTCTGCTCTGTAGTTCAAGTGTCCAACATCAGATTCCTATTTTTTCACTTCATACTGTATTCTATGCCAAGAGTCAACTTACTGCAGCAAACATATCTTTAAGTGCAGATGGAAATGGCCAGAGCCCCGTTGAATGACTCTGTTAACTGAATACAAAGCACTCCACACTCACAGCTGAAGTTGACAACCCAGCAGCCAGCAAGAAGACCAAGGAGAGCGGAGATGGTGGCGCGCATGTGTCCTTCTGGCACCACAACATGGCTCACTGGAGGAAGACACAAACGAACAAAAGCCAAATTGAAAAAAGGTACAAATGAGTTGTGTTACACATTTCACAAACAGATGCTGCCTGTTGCTGTACTCCTAGTGAATGTGAGTGGCAGCTACATAGTGCATGCATGCATGCATGTTATTGGTGCAAATTCAGATAACTAGATAGCTCAAGTGCTACAAGATAATACAGTTATTATGCGGTTGATAATACCTTGATTTCACAATTTGGATACTGTATTTTAGACATTGTCTTGAGTTTTCTCCCGGCCCAGGTTAGGTGAGTCACCAACATGACTTCTCTACCTCGAGAGGAAAACACTGGAGCACATCCTAACTTCTCTCTGGGCATGTCTGGAAATAAACAACATCCCTAGCGCTACTTCCCAGCACATGTGGAGAAAATAAAGTTCTTGCGGTGTTTGCTAACATTTGTTCAGCTGAGGATGATGGGAAAGACATGACAATTCATCCTGAGGGGGACATGAATGTATCTTTCAATATCACTATATTAAGTTATTATGCCCAATTAGATATCAGACATTAGAGTTTTTAACAGAATAACACATCACAATTCTACTGGAACCAACCCATCTGCACGGAGGACTGATATCTATATTTTCTGATTCTTTCTGATTCCAAAAAGAAAATCCCAATTTATTTTTGCCTGGCTGAATAGGCGAGTTCAATCCCAACCTGTCAAACTGTTCATGGCAACACAACAGAAGGCCATGCTACAGCCGATTCATAAAATTAGCTTTAGACGAAAACTACAAGTTAATTAAAAATGTGAATTAATTAATTACAAAATGAGCATAATTACATCTCCAGGGCAAAACCTTCTTATATTGCGTATTGACTGTGCATTTTGCAGGCTTGAGTTTAAAATGAAAAGAAAAGCACCAACTTTAACCCCTCCGGTCAGAGGTGGGAGAGTTGTGAGAAACATTTCTGTTTTTCATTGGTGCTTACTCATCACGCCGACAGTACCTCCAATCGTTTTATGAGGAATGATTTCAATTACTTTTCTCTCTCCGTTGTTCTCCGAGTCATTACTATGCAACACTGAAGGAGCGGTTGTATCGCAATGATGTATATACAGCTGTATGAAAGGTGAACCTTCACAAGCTCAAGCATCCACTTGTGTCTTTTACATTACAGAGGGGTCTCTGTAAGGTAGTGAAGCTTGGCTGTGAAGGAAAAAGGACCATCCAGATAATAATCCCATCTCTGTAGTGGTGAAAGTACCGTATATATAATCTTCAGAACAAACACTAAGAGTGCTTGAGCCTCCAGTCTACCCATCTCATACATCTTTCAGTTGAACAGGGCATTCAAATCACGGTTGATGACTTAGAGTGTCTGGCAGTGAACAAAATTACCAGCCATGGTCCCAATGTACCAGCAGTTGGCTGGTAACCGCTGTTGATTTGTTGCTGAGAGCCTGTGTGTCTCAAACAACAACAACAACATTAAAAAGCGCTTATAGGAGACTAGTATTCTGATCAGCTTCGCCTGGAACATTGAGGAAGTTTAAGCCTCCCATGAGGAGGCATTTCTGCAGTGCACAAACACTACCTGAGCCAGAAAAGGTGTCAGCCATCCTCCCTCCCAGCAGCTCTCCCAGTTTGGCCACCTGAACCTGCTCTGGCTGTGACAGCTTGCTGGCCAGAAGCACCGCCACGCCATCCCTCCTCACACAGTCGCTCACCTGAGAAGGGACGAAAGGACATGGTTCAGAAATGTCACGAGTGTATGGGTAAACAATTTCAAGCGAGACAAAAAGAGGTCTTCAAGTGGACGTACTATAGAGAGACTGGTTGAGGGGCTTAGAGATGTGTTGGCATCTTGCGTTCCTTCTGAGATTTCCTGGAAAACCTCCAGCATCTCCAGACCCACCGCGTAGTCGGCAGGCCGCTTTCCATACAGATTACTGTGAAAAAGTAAAGTCAAAAAGATAGAGTGTCAGTGTCTCACAGGATGGTTTACTATTCATGCAAACCATCTGGTGACCAAAGGGACAGTGAGACATGTTAAAAATCATAAGTAATACATGACAGCGTACTGTCAAAAGACTAACTCGTTTATAAATTATATTTACAACACAAGCTAAAAGCAGGTCAAAAGGTGGAGCAAGGTATTGTGGGGCAGTTGCACATATATAAATCTGTGGATAGTCACAGCAGGTCTGAGATGATAGTTTTCCTCTGCCAGTGGGACAAAGCTTTCACAGACACTAACGCAGCGTCGATGGAACTATGCGATATGTCTAAAGCAATGTCTCCTCCGACAAGATAATCATGCTGTCATATCATTTCATCACTTCAAAAATTACTGTAAATTTGGATTGTATTGCATTTATTTTCTTCTCTTCATCACTGGCCACCGAGCAGGACAGACAAAACGAAATCTAGAGCTGTGTCTCAATTCAGGGGCTGCATCCTTCGGAGGACCCTGCCTTCGCTGTCTACGTGGGCCGGGTCCTTCGAGGACCGCGAAGGCTAGAACGTGCGGTCTCCGAAATGAGACGGCCTACCCTACAGAGGACTTCCTGTTTGCGTCAACAGCTGCTCCCAGTGCCTAGAATCCCTGCTCAGCAGGATGGATAGAGATAGATATATATATATATATCTATATATATATAGAGAGATATATATATATATATATATATAGAGAGAGATAGAGATAGAGATAGAGATATATATATAATCCCTGCTCAGATTATAAATATATACACATAAATACATTCAACTAAAATATTTTCAGTATATATACTTTGAAGTTTTTAGTTTAGTGTTTTTAATCATATTCAAAAATTCATTCAGTTTATTTTCATAATATTGTTTTCCTAAATTAATAATCAGTTAAATCATAATTAAATCAGTTACTTTGTTAAAAAACACATTTTCAGTTATAATTCTTGCAATTAAAACAATGTATTTATCAATAACTTTATTTTATTTCATTCACACATATATATAGCAATCCTAAGGCAGAGGAAATCAATCAAGACAGTTAATATTAACAGCAGCAAAACAAATGTCAAACGTGTTTATTAACTTGCAGTAACACATGTGCATATACTTTATATAATTTTTTATTAAAAAAAAAAAAAAAAAAAAAAAAAAAAAAAAAAAAAAAAA